TTTTTTTTTTCTGACGGATATTTAGTGGCTGTTGAGAGGTAGAGGTGGGGTAGGGCAAAAGTCCTTTAAGGCCAGCTAAGCATAAATGCATGTCCGGGTTTAGGAAGAAAGCAGTGGGTGAGTTCCCGGAGTCCCAGTGCAGTTTCAGCTTCATCAGCTATTAAGTGGGTTTTTGTTGTTACTGTCATTTTAAGTTTTTTTAAGTTTTTATTTGGAGGTAATTACAGATTCACAGGAAGTTGCAAAAAATAGTATGGGGATGATTGTAGATGCACAGGGAGTTGCAAAAATGGTGCAGAAAGGGCTCATTTACCCTTCACCTAGAAGTTTTCCCTGGAAGTTATCTCTTGTATAAGTGTAGTATAATATCAAAACCAGGAAATGGACATTTGTACAATGCATGTCTGTATAGTTTTATGACATTTTATCATATGTGTAGGTTTGTCTGACTACCACCTCCATCAAAATACAGAGCTGTTCCGGCACCACAAGGACCCCTCCCTTGTGCTGCCCTTTTGTAGCCATACCCCTCCCGCTCCTACCTGCTCCCCACCATCCTTAATCCCTGGCAGCCACTCATCTGTCCTCTGTCTTCATAGTCCTGTTTGTTGTGGTGGTAGACGAGCTAGTAAAGTAACATTGTCTCAGAGGGGAAACTTTTCTGAAGCAGAAACTACCATCTTAAGAAGTTTTTTTTATAAATTGTGATTACCAAAGGAGAAAGGGTTGGGGAGGGATAAATTAGGAGTTTGAGATTAACATACACACATTACTATATATAAAACAGATAAACAGCAAGGACCTACTGTACAGCACAGGAAACTAAATTCAATATCTTATAACCTATAATGGAAAGGAATCTGAAAAAGAATATATAATACGTATGTGTGTCTGTGTGTGTGTGTAACTGAATCACTATGCTGTACACCTGAAACTAACACAGCATTGTAAATCAACTCTACTTCAATTTAAAAAAATTTTTTTTTCTAAAAGCCTACTTGTTTCTTCATGCTTCCTAATTACAGATTTCTTTAGGATAAAAGGTTCCAGTGGGATTGTTAAACATTTGCTCCCGCATAATGTGACTACAAATCCATTCAATCCCTGCCTTCTTTCAGTCTGCTTCTAGTAGAATTTTCTCAAAGGGGAAAAGCATTTTTCATTAAGTTCAGAATGCTGAAATGTTCCAAGAATTGGGTAGATTTTCAAAACCGTTTAGCATTTCTTATTTGAAGAGTCAGAATAGCATTAAAAATTTTTTAATGTAAAAACTAAAGCCATAATTCACCAATACCTTTATCTGGGTTCCTTATTTATCATAATAAGTTTTAAAGATAAAGGTAAGATCAAATGAGTTGATATTTATAAAGTGTTTAGAATAGTGATCCCTATATTCATGTTAACTATTGGTCTGTTTTTTTTTTATTGCGGCTGTTAACATGTTCTCAGGATGAAAAGACTTTCTAAGCACAAAATCAGAAGATTGAATCACAAAGAAAAGGATAAGTGTAGTGGGTATTTTTAATAAACAAAAGCCAGCCCCTGTATGCACGTGAAGACGATTGGGATGATATTTATATAGGTTTTCTTCGGGTGATGGGTGTATAGGTGATTTACAGCTCCCTACCCCTCATTTTCCCTCTGTTTTAAAAAAAATGTCACACAACCACAATTACCCTGGTAGGTGGAGAAATTAAAGTACAACATATAGAAAGGGAATTAAATATACCTAGTTTTGATAGGACTCTTGTGAAACTGACACTCGCAGTGCTTGTATAAATGATTCAGAATTTCAGGAGGGCAGTTTGACAGATATTAAAGCCTTGAAAAGATTCCTACTCTTAAAAACAAATTCAAGTTGATGGATTTAATCCTAGGGATTTTGTCCTAAAGTATGGCATCTTTATATAGTTGTATAAGTATGCCGTTACTTTTTGGAAAGAACAGAAATGTTTCCTAGCAGTTTGATGTTTTTATTATAGTCATCATATGTCATTTTTATGTCAATATACTGTCTACACTAAATATTTCCTGTCTATACAGGGAGATAATGTGAAATGAGCATATATCTAGGCTTAGTTCCAAGCAGTTTTTTTTTTCACTGTAGTGTTACTTGTGTCATTTTTTTCCCTTCAGTAATTTTTAATTTGAAAATTGCAATTTAATTTTAGGTTTAAAAATGTAATTCATATCGTCAGAGCATTTACTCTTTATCTGCTGCGTTAAAGTGATGACTGTCATCTCTTTCTTTAGTATTCCCCGTCTCAGTTGCTCTAGCCAGAAACTTGTGCATCTTAGTACCTCATTCATATCACCTCATTCTTAGCTTACACTGTGTGCGTCCAATTTTTGACGAAGTCTTGCCTGCCTTCAGAATATCTTGAATTTACCACTTTTTTCAATATCCACTGATACTAACCTACTCAGGGGAATATTACCTTTTTTATAAAGTATTGAAATATCATCATAGCTATTTCCTCAGTCTTCTCCTGACTCAGTTCTTTTTTTGTTTGTTTTATTTTATTTTAAAATTTTATTGGAGATATGCATATATCATGTTTAAGAAGTCAAGTGTTTCCATAAGAGAGCAAAGTATAGCAATATCCATTTGCTCCCAGCCTTTCAGCCTCCACCCTTGAGCCCCACACCCATCCAAGCCTCTTAGCTCTTCTTCCTTGGCAGAATTTATGTCTGTTTTTCAGATAATATGTCTAAGTGCCTGTTGCATGTGATTTTTCAATTTTGGGTATGATTTATTGACTCTCTACTAGAGAAGATGGTTTTCCTCTCTTACAGTCTCTTCACATTTATGCAACTCACTTCCTCCTCTTTCCCTTACAGTTATTGTCACAATTTTGACGTGAATAAGTAATCATGGCTCAACTGTAAAGAACATTGTTACCATATGTCATTTTTATGTCAATATACCATCAACACTAAATATTTCATTTCAACTGTAAAGAACAGTTGAGCCATGATTTCTTAAATTTTGTTTTCCTTGAGCTAAATAACTTACTTGAGCTTTCTCTGCACTTGTCGCTGATTTTTCTGCCAGAAGCTCATGCAGTGAGTGTGTCTCCTCAGTATGTTTAAACACTCCAGATGTTTCATTCAGAGAGGTCTCACTTGGAATCTCCGTTGTTGCTGCTTAACCATCTGGACTCTTGTTCCTAAGGTCTGCTCACAGCTTTGTCCCAGGATCTCCCTTTATTGTTAATCTGGGAATTTCCAATATTTTCTTTCTATGTTGGTTCCTCAGTTTCCTGATTTAGTCTTTTTCTTAACTTGCTAATTTGTTTTGATGGAACGTATGTTCTAGCTGTCTGAGAATAGGTACATAGAAGGCAAATTCTCTGAGAGTTTCATGTGTGAAAATGACTATGCTATACTTTCATACTGAATTGATATTTTTGTTGAGTATAGAATTCTGGGATTTTGAAGACATTGTTTCAGTTGTCTTTTAAGTTCTGGGATTGCTTTTGAGATATCTGATACCTTCTGATCCCTGCTTTTCTGTGTAGATCTGGTTTTCTTTTGTTTTTGAACTGACAATTTATGATTTGTCTCCAGTTATGCTACATTTTTGATACCTTGGTTTGAGTCTTTTTTTTTTTCTTAAATCTGTTATAATGGGCATTAGGCAGGTCTTTTCTTGTCCTGTAAGTTCTGGAGGCATTTTCTTGAATAAGTCTTTTTTTTTTTTTAATGTTTCTTTTCTCTCTTTTTGTATTCTCTTATAATTCTTATTATTCAGAAGTTGACTCTTATGGACTCTTCTAATTAACATAATAATCTTGCTCCTATTTTTAACCTGTTGTTTTAAAGATTTTTATCACCTTTATCTCACAACTCCTCTGTTGATTTTAAAAATTTCTCTTATATATTTTATTTCCAAAATATATTTATTTCTGTTTTGTTCTCTGAATATTTTTTATTTATATCCTCCTGTTTTTGCCATTTAATGGGAGCATTATCTATTCTTATCTATCTGAGACTAATAATTGTATGGTTTTGTCTTTTTCTTTTCTCAGTTTTCTGTTGTTTGCTGCCCTAACTCAGTTTCCTCAGAGTTCTTTTCCCCGTGGGTTCTCCCTCTCTTTCTGGTGATGGTGGTTGATTACAGCAGGGTTCTTAACCTATTTTGAACCTTGGACCCTGTTGGCAAACTGAAGCTTATGGAATTGAACCCTTTAAAATCAAAGGAAAATCAATTCTGTTAAGATAAATTTATCAAAATATTTTAAAAAACTGTTCTATGGCAATATGTGTGCCTCTTTATTAACATAGTAAGATCTAAAGGTGATGAGATTATAATTGCAAAGTAGTGATGAGTGTAAATTCTATTTTTGAGATATCTGTACCAACTGTAATGTGATGCGAAGATATTTGTGATTTTTGTTAGTGACAAAGTAACAGGTACTGCCTATTTTTCTATACTCTGTAGACAGCATGCATAATTAAGAGGAATGTCACTTCAGTTTTTTTTTTTACATCCAAGTTTTGAGCTCTTTGAAATCTACTGACAGACCTTGTTGGGTGTCAGGAACCCCATTTATTAGAGGTTTCTCCAGGTACTTGGGATCGTTGGCTGTGCTCGAAGACTGAAGTACCAGGAAGCTAGCCTTTGGACGCTCTTGAGTGATTAGCTGGGGCTTGACAGCTAGCAGGCTTCACTGCACATTGTGGGAGCTCATTTTTCGTTATTTGTAGATCTTTTCCTCTTGGGACTCCAATGTCTACAAAGAGGAACCCATCAATCTGCATATGGAGCATAAACCTAATGATCTATGTCCTCATAGATGAGTAATTTTGCCCTCTTACATTCTAACAAAATTTACTTTTGCGATCTAAGTGAATGGTTATACTTTAGATTTGTTCCTATTAAATAAAACAGTTCTGAGAAAAGACACAACAGTCTTTAGTGCTTTGGAACTGTTAATATAAGAAGAAGATTGGGCTGTTTCATAAATGTATATATAGTTTTCAACTTAATTTTTCAGGAGCTTTCAAGTTGTGGATGGAATAAGAAAGAAAAATATAGTTCTGCACCAAATGCAGTTGCCTTCACAAGAAGATTTAATCATGTGAGTCACTTATTAAATTTTGATACTTCATTTCTGCAATTCATTTCCTTAGTATATAATTTTTCATCAATAGTTCAGGTTTTTATATCAAATCTAGAACAGTTCAACCAACATCTCTCCAATTGTTGTCTCTCTGTATGATCTCTATTTTTTTCCTTCTGTAATTCCTATTTACTGTAATTGCTTAGTTCAGTATGCAGTTGAAATTTTCCACGATGAAAAGTTAAGAAACTATCTTTAAAGCTTAACATATATTTGACTACAAATATAAGGTTTTCATAACATCTCTATATGAGTATAAAACCCTTAATAAAGCAACCAGAGTTAAAAATATCTAAGATTTACTTTTTAATGAAGTAGTTGATACATTTCTAAGAATGTGTTAAATGTTTGTTTGAATCATATGTAACTGCAATGTTTGACCATTGTTAGGCTACAAAAGCTGGTGAGTTCATATGGTCAATCTAATATGTATTAGGAAGGGTTCTAATAAACAGCTGTGAATTCACCACCCAAACTGCGAAATACAGTATTACCAAGACTGTTGAAGCATTAAATGTGTTCCTCATTCTGTCTTCACTTAGGGGTAACCATTACCTGAACATTTTTGGGTTTTTTCTTTCTTTTCTTTTTTCTTTTTTAAGTTGGTTTAAAAATTTTTTAACTTCTCTCATAATTTTCATATAGATTTACCAGAAATAGTGGTATCCCTAAACAACATGTATAATCTTGCTTGTTTTTCATCTTTGTAAAATATATCATCAGACTATACGTACCCTTCTGTGCTTGGCTTTTTTCATTTGTGTGTTTCTCTTCTGTGTCCATGGTGATGTGTGTAGCTCTTGTTCACTGATTTTCAGTGCTATCTGCTAGCATTTATTGCATGAATGTATCAGAATTCATCATTCATTTGAGGGTGGACGTAAGATGTGTCTCTGGATTTTTTTCTATTATGAAGAATGTTGCTGTGAATATTCAAAGAATCTTTTTGGTGCCCATGTGCAATAGCTTCTCTAGGCAGTGGCTTTCGAACTTTTTTGACTGTGACCAACAATAAGATAAAATATTTTACATTGCCACCTAATATTTACTTGTATTAGATAATATGTACTTTGATCTTTCTCTGCTAAAAAAGAGGTTGAAATGAGAATTCACCTTTTAACAACCTTAATCATTGGATCCAGACAACTGCTAATATCACAAAAAAGACCTGATGAAAAAGCCCAGCACAACCTAGACTCTTGCCAAAGGCACCGAACCCAGCTGAACCTTTGAAACCAGCAGCTAATTTCCAGAAAACACAGGACGTGTTAAACTGTGCTGATTAGTTGGAATGCTTTTATAAAGAGACATTTTCCCTCATCTAGTATTTGCATACCCGGAGGGCAATTTCCTATAGGCAAAGGAAGGATAAATATTTGTTTCTGTCTATTTAGCAGTTTTGAAGATAATGAATTGGTGTTCTGTCATCCTGTAGTGGTGACCAAGTAGTTTTTTATTTTTTAGTTTTATTTTGAACTTATAAATTTAAAGATTTATGATGTGTTTCAACCCATTGCAATTAGTATCCTTATTCAAACTCATATTGTCCCATCTTTGGCCAGTGAAGTCTCTTCAGGTTGGCTTTCACGTCCTTTGTCATGACCCTAGTCATCTTTAATAATTTCCTTGCCATCTGAATGCAGAGACGTTGTCGGTTCATTTCGTCTATTACCTGCCCCCTGCCTAGAATCATTTCTTTAATAAACCTTGGTTTCTTATAGTGGGAAATGGACCGGGATGCTAGAGATGCTCATTGCTATTAGAGTAACCATAGTTTCTAGGCCTTTTCAGCAGATATAGCTAGGATATCTATATATCATACACACATACACACACACACACACACACACACACACAGACACACAAAACTATCAAAAGATAAAATATCTCGACTTCATACTGATACTTCTAATTCAAATTCAGGACCAGTGTTTTACTTCACTTCTTCTATATTTTATCTGCATATCCTTTCTTTCACACTCAGAACCTGATTTTCAAGGAACACACATTATACAGTATCCTGCAAGTGACTCATTTGCTTTATCTTACATAGCAAACAGTCTCAGAGTAACAATACTAATACCAGTCTTATTCCCGTAAACAGGTGAGTTCATGTTTTGTGCATGTTTTCTCTGCTTTTTTATAGTTATAGTATATACTGTCTAGGCATATAGGCCTTATATTACATGCTCTCCTTTACTTAACCCTCATTACTCTTAATTCTGTGAATAAGTGTATACTTAATGCTCACTACCACCCTTATGATGATGCTTCTCTAGTCATTTGGCTGTCTGAAACTTGTTCTCCAGAAATTACTCAGGGAGGGCTCATTGGAATAATATTCTTGAGTTCTTACATGTTGATAAGTTTGCCTGCTCTCTGTATGAAATTTTCTTTCCTTGATTATATTTGACATAGTACTCTTATTTTTTTCTATCTCTAGTTGTGTGATACATTAAGAAAACCAAAGTTATGACTCAGTATCAAGGTTACCTGCTATGGCAAAGTGTCGCTGTTGAAAATTCTGATGATTAAATTTTCTTTTCCTTAAAAAATCACTTTCTTTTTCTGTCTCAGTGGCCAAAAGATTTTTTTAAGTCTAGTGATTTCATTAAAGTATGTCTTGGTGTAAGTCATTCTGGGTCAGGATCCTCAGGCTTGGCTGGCTGTCTCTAGGGCTGTTGACTGGGGAGCACCTACACTTAGCCTTTCCTGTATGGAGCTTTCAGGGTAGTTGGACTTCTTACACAGTGGCTTAGGGATCCCAGAGAAAAATATCCAGCAATCAAGGCAGGGGCCACGTATTCTTTTATGACCTCGTCCTGGACATCAGCATCAATTTTGTTAATTTTCTATTTCTTGAAGCAGTCACAAACCTGTCTAGATTCAATGAGAGGTGACATACACCCCAGCTTTCAACATGAGAAGTGATGAAGAGTTTGTGGCCATGTTTTTAGATCACCATAGTATTTGTCTTAAAACTTTGACATTAAGCTTAATTAAGTCAATGAACATGCAGTTTAGATTGAATTCATAATTGAAATTTACTAAGGTTGTTAAAATATCTAAAGTATAACTTTAAATACGTTTTATAAGCAAACTTTATTATAGGGATAATTATTGCCATTAGTAGCTCAAATACAGTAACAAATATGAAGATGGCTTTTGTAAAAGACACACATTTTACATTTACATCTGTTTGTAAAATATACACACTTTGACAGTTTATAGATGAAAGTTGCAAGTAAAAATTGAAATATTTCTCACTAAAAGTGACGAAATATGAGGAAGTGGCTTTATCTTTTGCACTGTTTTCTAACTACATTCCGTTTTTAGGTTTGTGTAAGGTGAACCAACTGAGAGTGTTTTGATTTTGCTTTCATAGTGTGTGAATTAAAATATGTTACATACATATTATATCATACAGTAAGCATGCTATTTTCACTAGAGTATAGGATTTTAGTAATGTTATAGATATAGTCTGCCTTCTAAAGATTGATTTTTGATGTTTTTAAAAGAAGTCTTAAAGATGGTTTCATTGAATTAGAAAGCCTTACATAATTTAAAAAATATAGCTTTAGTTTTAGAATGACTTAGATACATTTTTCTTTATGATACTTTATTTCATTTTACTCATACCAGGGAAACCATACTTGAGATTCTTTACACTTATGTTTCTGCTCAACATAAATAAATGGCAGCATGAGATTACACAGCCACAGGAAAACATACCATAAGTAGCATGTTTTACCATGTCTGACCTGTGAGTTTATCTAATTCTGCTGAAATGTTTCAAAATACAGCAAAAAACGCTTGTATAGTGTTCAGGATGCATCACTCTGGTTTTATTGTGTTCTTTTTTCCTTCAAAATTTATATTAGATTTTGCAAATTAAAAAATGTAGTAATGTTTTTATGTGTGCGTATTCATATATACATATCTGTATCTGCCTGTCTGTACATGAAGTGTATGTAGCATTTGAAGATTGGTTATGTCCTGGTGGTGACTCAAGGGAAGGGGGGGAAAGTATTGTTTTTAAACAACTGTCAGTAGTTCCTCAGGTAGCTCTTGTCATTAATTTGATTCTTCTAAGTAAAGAATCTTGCCACTCAGCTATTTTAAATTTTTATTTGCAGGTAAGCTTTTGGGTTGTTAGAGAAATTCTTCATGCTCAAACATTGAAAATTAGAGCAGAAGTTTTGAGCCACTATATTAAAACTGCTAAGGTAAGACAAACTTGTGTTTTTATCTCTGAGTTCAGTCATTGAGCAATGCTTGTGAGTGAACATTTACCTGTGACACTGTTCACTATTTATTGATGCTGAAAAATAAGGCCTATTGATTAATATAATTCAGGTTTTAAAATTGGATGCCTGTTTCTTTTGCTTTTTCCTTTATCACCCTATCTTCCTCCCTTTTGTTTTATACCTTTCCTCCCTGTCTCAGAGTCGCTGAATTATTTTGACTGGGCAGACAGAGGCCGGGTTGTGATGGAGTTTAATACTTATGAAATATTGATCTTTCTGCAGGTGATCAAAACAGCCTTATAGGATTAAGTAGGACAATAAATATCCATTTTTTGCCTTTGAAATAGGTCACTCTGCCATCTATGTGGAGAATGATAAAACTTTATTTTTAAAAGACTAGTATAAATGAGGATGTTAACCAAATACATTAATTAAATAGCAGAGGTCATAGATACAGCAAGAGGAATAGAACATGGATTTCAAGGGCAGTCAAAATATAGAGAGGAGGACAGAGTAAGACATTCCACAAGAAGATCCCAAGATTTTATTAAAATTTATAACAACTCCAAATTTATGTTACGTTTACTAAAAAGCAGTATAATTGTATCCACATTCATTTTTCATTATTCTTATAATAAGTACATAGCTTATCTCACTTGTGAATTGAAGGAAGATGGAATAAATTGAGGACACCATTTTTACAATTGTAAATTATTGTAATTACTGTAAAATTGTAATTTTTGTATGTCGTAACTCTTCCATATTTTCCTTGACCACCTGGGAATGACTGTGTTCTAGCATTTTCTAGCACTAGGTGGCAGAGCTAACCTTCTAAAAAATTTGGTATTTTGCAGTAGTGTTAAAAATTTTTAAAAACACTCTCTGTGATTTAGGTAAATATTGGAATTTAGCTAATAGAAATTCATGACTTTTCTCCATAGACCCTGAATTTGTATTATTGTTTTCTGGTTTTTGGTAATTTTTTTAAGGTACTTGTTGTATGTTCCACTCAAAACCACTAAAATTTGCCTGTCAAACCTGCCATTATCCTCATCAACTAATCCTTTGATTCCAGTTCAGACTCTTAGCTTTGAGTTATTTTTGACAGTGCTTGCTTTCATCCCAAGTCCGAAACTCATAATTTTTTTGTCTCATTATTGTCTCTTAAATCCCTGTAATCTGACTCTCTGCCTTCTGTATTCAGTTTGTTATAAAACTAGTACGTCTTTTTCTTCTTACAGTAGATTGTTTCAGTTGGGGTTCTACAGAGACGGGAAAAAACACCCCCCGCACATATATATATGTGTGTCATGTATAAAAAATTTAAGGAAGTATCTCATGTGATTGGGTGCGGGGAGGCTAGCAAGTCTGAAATCGGTAGGGCAGGCAGACAACCTAGAAACTCAGGCAGGAGTTTCAGATTTTTGCTATTATAAACGCCACTGCTATAAAGCTTTCTCTGTGTGAGTCTCGTGGTGCTCAGTTGAGGGTTGAAGCCCTAGAAATAGAGAGAGAAAAGACAAATTGCCTTCAAAGAAATGGCAATTAGACCAATAGCCTCATTGAATCTGATGAGAACGAACACTTTTTGTGTGTTGGCTGTTTAGATTTTCTCTCCTGAAATGTCTGTTCAAGATCTTTGAGCAATTTTCTGCTATTGTGTTGGTCTTTGATTTTTATAGCAATTTAAAATACATAATTCAAGATGCTGAAGTTCTCCGCTATATTCTTTGCATGCATCTTCCTATTTGTGACTTGTCTTATAACTCTACTCATATTACCTCTGATGTAGATGCTCTTAACTTTAATACTCAAATGTATTCATCGTTAATTAATTTTTATTGTCTCACTTAAGAATATCTCATTTAAAGAATCTTACTCTAACCTCTGAGAATATCAAAGATTTCCCCTTATTATTATACTTTAAAAGTTCTATAGCTTTGATTTTGATATTTAATTCATCTGAAAATTTAAATGTAATATGTATGAGTTGTGGATTCCAGTAAACATTTTTCCATATGGATAATCATTCTGGCATCCTTTTAAAAATATTTTTTTTAAATCTCTCTTTATTTTATTTTGTCTGGAAGCATCTTTGTCACCCTTGTTCTTGAAGAATGTTATCCCACACTTAGAGTTATTTTTTTATTAACTCCACTTGAGATTCCTTGAGCTTTGTAGCCCTAGGAATTAGTATCTGTCAGTGATTTGGGAAAATAATCGGCCATTATCTCTTATTGTTTCTACCCCATTATTTTTTATCATGTCCTTCTGCAATTCCATTTAGATGAATGTTGGCCATTTTTGCTCTACCTTTTTTTTTTGTCTCTTTAACCTTTATTTCATGTTTTTAAAAAAATTCTTTGGCTTTTATGTTGCTTTCTTGATAATGCCTTCATTTTTAATCTCCATTTTAATTGAGGCCAGTACCTGATGTTGTTCGCCATTTATGAATTCTTGTTTCCTTGTGCTTTTCATTTTCCTTTATTTATTTATTTCATTTTTAAATTTTATTTAGGGGGGCTAATTAGGTTTATTTATTTATGTTTAGAGAAGGTACTAGGGATTGAACCCAGGATCTTGTGCATGCTAAGCATGTGCTCTACCACTTGAGCTATACCCCTCCCTCTCTTTTTTTAAACTGGAGTTTACCTGAGTTAAGGTGGTATATTAGTTAGGATTCTTCAGAAGAACAGAACCCCTCTCCTTTCCTTAGTTCTCGTATTCAAAACAGACATTTCTGCCTTGGAGGCTCTTGACGGTAAGGACAGTTTGTTTTTTGTTTTTTTTTAGATGTCAGCACAATGGGTTTTTTTTTTAACATTTTTTATTGATTTATAATCATTTTACAATGTGTCAAATTCCAGTGTAGAGCACAATTTTTCACTTATACATGAACATATATATATATTCACTGTTGCATTCTTTGTCACCGTGAGCTACCGTAAGATCTTGTATATATTTCCCTGTGCTATGCAGTATAATCTTGTTTGTCTATTCTATAATTTTGAAATCCCAGTCTCTCTCTTCCCACCCCCCGCCCCCTAGGACAGTTTTAAATGAGAAGACCATTGAGATGCAAGCATCTGTTAGTTGGAAGAAATCTGGGCAGTTGGCAATAATTTGTCAAAAATAATGGCAAAAATGTCAAGTAGATCTCTTGGTAAACTGATGGAACCTAGCATTAGACGGGAGTTTTCTGTATGGAGACTATAAAAAGTGTGGTCTGATACTGGGAGGCAGGCGGATGTCCCAGCATGAACAAGGAGCAGAGAATCTAGGGCTTCAGGCTGGCGGAAGCAGGAAACTGAGGAGGGCTGTGAAAAATAGGTGAGCCCTAGCCCTAGCATCATAGGGGTACTGAGTAGGACACCAGAGCTGGATCCTGGGCACAAACCCTTTCCTTGAACTTGAATTGCAAGTCAGAGGCTTAGTTTTGTTTTTTTGTTAATGTACTAGAGGTGGATTTGTTCCCAGAGCTTGTGGGCAAGGCCAGGTTAGAATGTGGAAGTTCTGTTGTGGGCCGCAATCAGACCACTGTGAATGTAGTGGGTACCCCAAGGACAGACCTCAATAATGAGGGTAGTAAGTCCTGGAACACTACCAGTCACCTGGACTGTACTTGTTAATCTAAAGTTATCTTGTATTCATGCTATTTATTTTTCATCTCTCCTCCCCCTCTTTTCTTAAATCTTCCAGAAACTTTACGAGCTGAATAATCTTCATGCGCTTATGGCAGTGGTTTCTGGCTTACAGAGTGCCCCAATTTTCAGGTTGACTAAAACATGGGCGGTGAGTAATCTTCCTTGGTTAATGAAAGGTTAGACTTCCTGTTGGAAGTAAAAATGTATTAGTTCCTTTTGTAGTTCTTAGTAGGTTAATATCATGGTAATAGATAAGGATTTTTAAATTGCTTCATACTCTTTCTTTGAAACCTACATTTTTTTTCTCCTTAAATAAGTGTTTCGCTAGGTTTGTCAGGTATTTTGGGGGTAAAGTACAACTTGGTTTCTGCTCTTTAGAAATCATTTTTGAAGAACTTCTTTAAACACCTTTGACAGTATAGCATTTCATGTTTACTGATGGGAAAGTATAAATGCAAAAAAAAAGTAGCAAGTACTCATGTAAAGATTATACTTTTTGGAAAATTTGAGGAAGATCTGAATTGTAAGTTTCAAAAAGTTCTACTGATTTAGATTTCTATTTTTTTTTCAGTCAGTAAACTCTCAGGATTTTTCCTTAGGAATAATGGAAAATCTGACAGTTAACATGGAATTAGGCAGTGTTTCTGCACATTCTGATATTATGTTAATCATATTTGGTTCTATTTAACAAGGTCAGGGTGTGAATTTTGACTTCTGCAAATTTTTTTGCACTTTTTTTACTTACTAAAATATAACATTGTTTTTACTTAGCCTAAGGTTGTTTTCACTTTTCATAGTCTCTGAAGAAACAGCTGTTTCTCATGAAAATCAGGGTAGATTTCTATATTGGAAAAATGTTAGTATGGAAGAGCTTATGATTCTCTTTATTTGTATTTTTAGAAACACCTGGGTGAGCAGTTTTCCTACTCTAAAAATTATTTTTAATAATGACAGCCTTATTCTCTTTTATTAAAATTTGAATTTAATAGGGGAATGGAAATGACTATAAATACACAGTTATGAATTCCATCTTTGAAGTTTTTGGGAAACTAATTACATGCTGATTTATGTGATTTAGAAATGAGGTACATTTCCCTCAAATTAATTTTTATTTTCCCTGAAGTTATTTTCATTGTCCCCCTCATGTATTTGTATGGAAAATAATTTTTTTAAATTTAGTAACAGCTCTGTTATTAACCTAAATAAAATTTTTGGTGTTTATATTAAACTTTAAAAGATTCCACACTGTGCCAATCACTGTCTAATCACTTGGCATACAATAGTAAATGATATAGACAGAGTCCCATTCTTACACAGCTAACATTCTACTGGGAAAAGATAAGCTATAAATAAATAAATGATATATCATAAATAGTGATGAATGCTCTATAGAAAAATAAAGCAGAGTAAGTGAGATATGAAATACTTCCCTCCTTTCCTTTCTATGATATGTGGTAAGAGCCTCTGATAAGTGACAGTTGGGTAGAGACCTGAAGTATTGAGATAACCATTCTTGTGCATATCTGAGAAAAGAGAATCTCAAGCAGAGGTAATAGCCAGAACAGAGGCTCTGACAATGTTCAAAGACTAGCAGTGTTGATGTCGAGTGGAAAAAGCTAAGAAGTAGTTAATGGTAGGAGCTGAGTCCAGAGAGGTGATGTGGAATCAGATAATGAAAGTGCTCTTTACTGATACTCAGGGAGGTATAGAGAAGGTGGGGGGGATCTGTTTTATACATATCAAATTTGAGTTGACTGATAAATATCCATGTGGAACTGTAAGGTCAGAGTTAGGTATACGAGTTTAATAGAGCAGTTAGGGCTAGAGGTATACTTCTGTGATCATCAGCATAAAGATAGTATTTAAAACATGAGATTGGAATCATCAAAGGCAATATCACAGGTAGTTTTCAGTCAGATGAGGAAAATGTTTCAAGAAGGAGTGATCAGCTGTGTCAAATGCAGCTAATAAGATGAGTAATAAGGTGAGAACTTTGAGATGGCTATTGGTTCTGGCAATTGGAAAGGATTGGTTACCTTGGCAAAGATGGCTTCAGTACAGTGGTGGGGTGAAAGATAGATTGGATTTGAGAGAATGGTGGAGAAAAAAATGGGACAGTAAGTATAGAGAGTGCGTTGAGGTGGGGTCCTCTAGAGAAATCTGGTGGGAGCCGGAGGGAAATGTGACACCAAAGATTTGTGATCTTTTGTTTTGACTTTGGAGATGAGATCCATGACAGCATGTTTGTATGCTGGTGCAGTGATCTAGTAGAGTGGGGAAATGGTAAGAGAGAAAGGGGTCACTCCAGTGATACCCTCGATTAGGCATGAGGGGATGAGGTCCAGTACCCTGGTGGGGCAGGAACAGTTTATCCATTTTTATCAGGAGAGAAGGGGATGCATTTTGGTTACACACACAGGTATGTCGGTAGATTTGGCGTTGGGATTCTGCAGAAGTTCTTCTGATGCTTTGTTTCATAAGACATAAGAAGCAAGGTCATCAGTTGAGAGTGTTCAGGGAGAGGTGTGGAGGATTGAAGAGAGAAGAAAAGATAAAAGTCATCTAGGAGAATGTGAGAGTGAATTAACTAGGGAAACAGGTTTGGTAGGTTTTATGAACATCCACTTGAGATATTTGGTCATGAACTTAGAGTGAAACCAGTTAGCAAAGTAAATAGTCTCAAACCAGGGTCAGGTGTTCAGCATTAGCCTGGAGAAGTGCTGAGAATTGGACTTAACCAGAGTTGGAATTTTTTTAGGCTTTTTTGCACCACAGAGGGGTCAAGGATAGGACAAGAGATAAAGTGGGTAAATGTGAACGTTGTTTTAGTGATACATGAAGAATCTAAACCAAGTAAAAGGAGAGACATGGTGAACAGTGAACAGGTAGTATGGTACCTGGTAGAAATCCCGGGGCCCTGAAATCCTTACTGCATTAGGATGACCAAGGGAGTGCAAACTGAGCGTGGTGGAAGGTCATTGAAAGAGGAGTCAAGAAACTGAGAAACCAGGGTGGTAGGAGTGTCACCTCTGTGAAAACTGCAGTCATCATAAAAATAATGTTGGTTCATAGACTCTCTCCAGCTACTAAAATCTTCAAGAGATAATGGGAAAATGACTTGTAGCTCTATGAATGACAGTAACATAAGTATTATAATTTATTGCTCTTTTGTCCAGTATTGTAGGCACTAGCATCATGTGACTGTTAAATTTAAACCCTTGGAAGTAAATAAAATTTAAACTTCAGTTCCTTAGTCTTACTAGCCATGCTGCAGATGCCCAGTAGTCACATGTTGCTAGTGGCTGTTGTATTGACAGCACAGATGTGGTACATTTCCATCATTGCACAAAATTTGATTGGACAGCAGTGGTCTAGTGCTTGAACTTAATCTGGAGCTGGAACATTTTGGGGAGGATAGTGGGATAATAAGCTGGAAGGAATGGTGAAGAGAAAGGAGCAAGAACAGCACCTAACTGAACTCCAGGCTCATGTTATAGAGTTTGTAAGAAATGAAAGAGAACACTTCAAGAAAAGGTCAAAGATGGGGCTTTTGCAGAAGATGGACCATGAGTCCTAGAGGGTACAGTTGGAAAGGATTGAGAGTTGTAGGGTACTCAGTCAGGTCAGAAGATAAGGAAGATCATATCAGTGAGGAATTGGGAGTGTTATGGGTGGGTTTTTTTTTTTAAGCCAACAAAGGGAATGTACCAAAAAACTATGACATCCTAAATAGGGAAAATATTAACAACATTCTTAACATCAGGAAAGAGGATGCCCATTTTCACTGTTTCTATTCAGCATAGAGACCTGACCCAGCACAATCAGAAAAAAAAAAAAAGATTTGAAATAATAGGATTTGTCCTCAAAAAATTAAACTTAAAATTGCCATTTATTTGGCAATTCCATTTCCGGGTATGTACCCAAAACAATTGAAAGTGGGGACTCAAACAGGTATTTTTACAGCAACATTCAAAGCAGCATGATTAACAATAGCCAAAATGTATAAACAGTCCAAATGTCCATCAACAGATGCATGGATATACAACATGTGATATAAGCATACAGTGAAATATTACTCAGCCTTAAAAAGGAATGAAATTCTGACACATGTTGCACCATGGATGAATCTTGACTATGTTATGCTAAATGAAATGAGCTAGACACAAAAGGACAAATACTGAATGATTCCATTTATATAAGATAGTCAAATCATAGTCAAATCGTAGACACAAAGTAAAAAGTGGTTACCAGGGGCTGGGAGGAGTGAGAAATGAGGAGTTACTGTTTAATGGGTATGGAGTTTTTGAGTTTGGGAAGATGGAAAGAGTTCTTTTCATGATGGTTGTGATGATTGGTGGATAATTTGAATGTACTTAATGCCACTAAACTATACACTTAAAAGCGGTTTAAAAGGTGAATGTTATGTATATTTCACCACAGCTTTTTTAAAATAGGGTTTATTAAGGTTACTAAACATAAAAACAATATACAAAATTAGTTATATTTGAAATAATTAGAAAGTATCACTTAAAAGGACACCGATTACAGTATCAGCAAAAGAAAAGAGCAATCAATGGAATAAAATGTGTAAGACCTATATGCAGAAGGTTATTAAAGACGAACTGAACAGATGGAGCAATATCTCTTGTTCATGGATGGGAAAACTTAAAGATGCCAGTTCTCCCCAGATACGTATGGAGATCATATGCAGCTTGATCAAAATCCCAATCTGGGGACCTGGACAAGACTGCTTATTTACATGGAAATGCAAAAATTCAGGAATAGCTTCTTGGCCAGAGGAAGAGCAGGCATCTAAAACATGTGGAGTTAGACCCTTGTGAAGTACTTTGTTTTCTCTTTTTTTGAAGGGAGAAATGCAGTGAGGTGACATTGTAGGGGTAACCTTAGAAACGTCAGAAAAATCTGAAAGATCTGAAAAGGAGAAAAAGAATCAAGATTGCTTATGTAGGGCTTTGGCACATGGGCTGTGGGTGTTTCTGAGCTATAACTAGGAAATACCTATTTTAACATTAAATTCTTTATCCATATTCTTCCTCTGAATAGTCTTCTGACAACAGGTCTCTGCTGTTGCACCCCAGATTGAATCCTTTCCATCTGGTTATTGATTTGTTATGAAAATTCCAAAACATAAGTTATTTTTATACATGTTACTCTGTGTGGTTCTTTAATTTTGTGTTTCAGATGTGTCAAGATCAGTTATGAGTTCCAAGTAATTTGTTTCTCCTGATACTGTACTAGAGTTTTAGAATGATTGACTTCGGGAAAAAAAGAATAAATTTCTTGTTATCCCTGCCATGTCACATCAGTATATTTTGCATATTCAAATGCTCTGTTATGTGGGAGAGAAAAGGATGGTTGGCTTTACAAGTAGCAGCAGCGATTTGTACCTAAACTTGAAAATGCCGATCAAGTTTGTTGAAGCTGGGCCACAGAAAGTTGTGAAACCAGTGTTTCAGATCATGGAAAATCTATCCAAAACCATTACAGCAAAGGACTCTTTGAAATCTTGTGTTTTAAAGAGAGAGGGATACTGGTCAGGCATTATCTGAAGTTAATCTACATCTTGGAGACTATTTTTAAAAATAGATTCCAACATCAATCGCAACTAGGCTGCTTGTAACACTGGAAAGAGTAGTGGGTTTGGTGTTAGAATATCCCGTCTTCAGGACCAGACCGAGACCCTGAAAAACAGGACCTAGTCTTTGTGAATGGATGACTGAGAGTGTTGCTATGTTCTGCTTCACCTTTGAATCTCAGTGTCCTCATCTTTAAGTTAATCCTCTGACTTTTCTGTTAACCTCATGGGAGAATTAGAATTTTATAGGTTGAAGTGTTTTGCATACTATAAAATAATATTTTATGATATAAATAAAGTGGAATTTTGTTACATCATAATGAAATCGTAACTTCACATAGTTAAAGAAAAAAAATTTCCAGAGTCTTTGGAATACTTGAAGTATATATATTTTCTGAATCTTTTAGTTGATATTATTTTGGGTGGCTGACCTTGCTTTTCTTTTATTCCACCTAGTTATCTCCATTTTTCTCAAAGGGCACCCACTGCGAATCTACCCCTCAAGCCTCCCAAAACAGCTGCAGTTGATTTTTCAACTGTGTGCAATATAGTCCTGGCCAAAGGGCTCAGAAAAAATGTTGAGAGTCCAAAAATGTAAATCACAGTTTTATAGTTACCTTTAGGACTAGCCATGGTTAGATTTATCAAGAAAGAATATGACTTAAATTACAAAATTCAGTATTTATTTCTTAATGATTATGCAAGAATTATCTTTATCTTTGAGGAAGCAGGGGACAGTGCATTAAAATATTTGGGCATTTGAGCTGAGTATGAATACATAATTATTTTAAATTAGGAAAATGATCAGTAAAGTTGTTTAACCATTTAAAATAGTGAAGATGAGAAGTAATGTACTATAATTTACTACTTAATGAGTTATTGATTTTATGTAAATATAAAGGATATTTTATAAATAATAATCTTAATAGACACCTGATTTTGTTTTATTTATATACTACCAATGTATAATTAAAGAAGGTATAACTTTGAAATTAAAATTCAGATTTATAGGAAATAAAACTTCAAGTCTTTGCTTTAATAAAAAGAAATTTGGAAATAACTTAGGCTTTTCTGTTTGTTTTTTAGTTATTAAGTCGAAAAGACAAAACTACCTTTGAAAAATTAGAATATGTAATGAGTAAAGAAGATAACTACAAAAGACTCAGAGACTATATAAGTAGCTTAAAGATGACACCTTGCATTCCCTATTTAGGTGAGTTATGTCACTGTGTGTTCATTGTGCCTAGTTGTTGCTCTGCCTTAATCAGTATTTTATATAAAATTCAAGGTATTTTCCAAATGCGTGTATCCTTTAGAGAAATTAAAGGATTGTTAAATTGAAAAAATTGACTACAGGAATTTTTTACCTTGTTACCTGGAATGTATTTTTGTATTAAATTAGCCTTTTGCCCTTAGGTTTTTCTTTTGTTCTTTTCTTTTCTTTTTTTTTTTTTTTTAATTGAAGTGTAGTCAGTTTACAGTCTTTTGTCAGTTTCTGGTGTACAGCATAATAGTTCAGTCATACATATACATTCATATATTTGTTTTCATCTTCTTTTTCATTGTAGGTTACTACAAGATATTGAATATAATTCCCTGTGCTATGCAGTATAAACTTGTTTTTTTCTATTTTATATATAGTAGTTAAGGTTTTTCATAGACTATCATTTTTTCTTAGAGATGGACCGTATGGTAAAGCAATATGTCTTAGCTATTTTAGTAATGCTTTTAAATAATTAAACAGTAGTTTGCAATGAAGTTGAATGCTGTAAAAATATTTAACATTAACTAAAGAAATTGATCAAAATATTTATTGAATTTATTTTCAACATCATGAGTTCTTGCTACGTATAGTTGGCAGATATTTTAGGGTAAATTATAAAAAGCAGTTTCAATGAATCTTGGTGTTATTGTTTTCCTGGAAGAAATGAATTGTTTAGCTGTGGAAATTTAGCTGAGACAAACAAATCTGTATTTTATGTATCATTTGACCAAGAATGTGTCTCTTTACTGTGTGTTTTACAGTGTTGATAAATTCCAAGAATATTGAACCAATAACATTATAAAGTTATGTTCAACAAAATGAGTAGGAATGCTTTGTTAGATATTTGAATAAAAAGACTTAAACTATTCCTTTTTAAATGTGTATGCAAATTTAAATAGAGAAAATACTTTGTATGATATATATCTAGTATATGTATTAAAATCAATTGGTTTGATCCCATGTAGAAGGTAATGAAATGATAAATATTTATTTGTTTTTTCCCAGTATCCCTTTTTCTCTCGTATCTCCACTCTGTCTTTTATGTTACTACTCAAACTGGATTTCACCATAACTACTTTTGAAAATAATAGAAAAGCCTGTTACTTGTTTAGGAAACTCTGCAGTGCCATCTTTGAAGTCTTTACAGTATAAGTGACTGGAACACAAAGTAGGGAGCAAGGCAGTTGACAGTGTCTTTCAGCTGCTCTGCAGCATCAGCCTTAGTTTGTCAGAGAGAGGTTGAACTCATGAGGTCATTGTGAGACATCCTAGGATCCAGTGGAAATAGGGACTGTTGTATACCCTGTGTTGAAGGCACAGGACTTCTGTGGACTGAATAGATAGTGGCCACTACAGAGCTTTTGTCTATTTCTTTGATTAAATAGTTCAGGGCCATAGTAAGCATGACCCAGTCAGAGAGGCGCTAAGCTGGATGGATATAAGGGGAGACATTCTGCGTGGGCTCCACTTTTTACTGTAGCCTTGGCTGTGCCCATCCTTGAGAATGTAATTTGCAGGAGAGAAAGAAAAGAGGCTTTTTAAAAATCATCAATATCTGCATATGCCATAAAAACAATAAACTTTTTATAGCCTAAGGGACATTAGTTTGGGAATTGGGAACCATAAATTCCAAAATGGCTCCGCCATACTAACTTTTCAGGTCATTGACTTGTCTTCTTTGAACCTTGTTTGTTTGTTTGTTTGTTTGTTTGTTTTTTAACCTAGAAATAGCATACGTATGACCAGAATCATGTTCTTCTTAAGGCTGGATGGGACCACAGTAATCTCTTTTATCTAACTCACAAATTTTACAGTTGAGAAAACTGAAGTTCAGAAAGGTAGAAGAGGTAGCTCATAATCCTAAAACTAGTTAATGACAGATCTGGAATCTGAAGTTCTAATCTAGCATCTTTCCAATTATACCTGCTAAACTCTCATTCTAGAATTTATTGATTCTATAATTGTATTTTTTTCTCATTGAAATGCTTTTCTCAAATTCCATAATTTGTATTTTTTAGAAAAGGGGGTTATTTTCTTTTGAAAATGAGAAAATGACAAATAATACAAATCCTTGTGCTGTGATGTCCAGTTCAGGGGTCTTTGTTTTCTGTTTATCCACAGCGGAGACTTCAGTACAGATTTAGTACAGATTTCAGTACAGTACAGCATATACCACACTGTCATGCATGTATGGGGCCAGGGCAGGAAATAGTTGGAAATTAGTGGAATCTGGAAAGATTTTCTGTTAGAGAATATACCTGTTTTCTCCCAGCTCTGGTTCCTGTGGGTTAAAGTAAATGAGACAAATATTGAGGTTCAGAAGTTAGTTTGGAGAAAGTCTTAGAACCAAGATCTTTCCAGTGTCTTCCACTTAATCTCCATTGGTTTCTTCTCCTTTCAGTTCCTTTTCATTTTATATGTTCTCATGGTCCAGAGTCTTCCTTCTCACTATTGCCGTGTAATTCTCCTTCTCTTTATAGCAAAGCTTATAAAAGGTAACCTGTTCTTCCTTTCCCTTCTTGCTGTTTTCTTTTGCTCAGCGTGTTGTTATCTCACTCTTCACCCATAGAAATTACCCCAATAAGGACACCACTGACCTCCTAGTTGAAAGTTTTAATAGGTATTTCTCAAGCCTCATCTGAATTTTGTGAGAGGTTGATGCTAGTTATTGAAATTCTCTGCTAGTAGCACTGGTCTCTCTTGATTTACCGTCTACATTTTGGGCTCTTTTTTATTGGCTCCCCTTTCCTGCCTTTCTCTTAAACTTGCTCTTCTAAAGGTCACAGTCCACCTCTTTTATTCCTCTGTACACTCATTTGGAGTCGTCTCATTCATATTTTTTCCTTATATCGTCTGATGACTCCCAAATCTTAGATTAGACCAGCATATCCAACTTTCTTTGTAATTCCTGCAGCCTGGTAACATTTTAGGTATTCAGATACTGATTGAATGAGGTGTCTGCTCTAATTTCACATGTTCAGAAGTAAATTCATCATTTTCCCCCTTCCTCTGAACCTTGCCCCTGTCTTATCTCCTAGCCTCGTCTGCTAGTGACCACAGTGGAGCATTGTCTACACTGCTCCACCACCCTAGAAACGGGGGCGGTGGGGGTGCTGGGTTTCTCCTCCTCCTCTCTTTTTCCTATTCTCTGTTGAAACAAGATGCATGTTTCTAAGGGTTATTTCAAGAATTAGAAACCAAAAGGAGGAAAAATGGCAAAAATGTTAAGTTAAAATGGAGAACATACACATTAACATCTACATTTTATGCATTGGTTTCTTCGTATAATTTTTCATCCCTATACCAGTTTGTGAAGAAGCATCTGAGATTGTGAGACGATTGTGGAACATTTGGCACAAACATTTGGTAGACTTGGGAAAGGAAAATGAAACACTGAAACATTTGTCAGATAAGTAGTGACTCGGTTTAGTTCATTTCCAGCATGAAAACCATCTTTTTAATGTAGTGACAGCTTTGTTTTATAGCACACCTTGAAATTAAATGTATTCACTTCATCCATCAAAACATACATGATTTTCCTAAGAAAATGTGAAGCAAACTTTCTGACTGATTTATTTATAGCATAGACAGGTTCATTTTTTTGTTCTTAATCTTCAGTGCTGAAATGTTTTGAAGAATGGAGATTTTTTGACAGTTTCTATCCTGTTAATATTTACATTGTTCATATTTTGTTCTAATTTAAAATGAATTAGGATTGTGTTTTTTAAATTTATCTTAATTTCAGAATCTTTCCCCATTTATATGAAACTAGACTTCATACAAATAGATGCCAAAACGTCCACATTTGCAAGATGCTGTACATTTGATAGGAGAGAACTTGCCCTGAAGACATGAGAAAGATAATACGAATTGGTAGCTTCTATTTAACTATCCCCCTTCAAGTATATAGAATTTGCCTAATGCCGTCCTTTATCCGTTATGTCTGCAAAGTTCTTTTGGAACAAATGTATCAATCAAAAGAATCTATAATGCACAGCGAAAAGGTAAAGGCTGATCATCTGCTTCTTACCATGAGAGACAGGACCCAAACTAATGGTGTTTTTGCCCCTAAAAATTATCATCAAAACCAACCATTCTTTGTGATGTGTGTGGAGGTTTATATGCTGGCAGAACTCTTACTTTGATACTGCCAGATGTATTGATAATTCAGTGTGGATTAAATTATAAGAAGTAGAAAATGTTTTCTTGGCTTTCAGCTCATCACCCCTTGAAAAATTGTCTCTTATGTTGGTTTGCATTCAAGGTAAAAATTAGTCAGTCTGGACAATATAGCGAAAAGTTCTTAGACTAAGGATACAGTTTTTCTGGAGAGAAGTAGTTTGGCACAGCTCAAGGAAAAAATTGTTTTATATGAGAATTATTGCTTTAAATCTGAAAATCATTAACAGCACTCATTTGTTCTTGTCACTGGAGAACAATCTTAAGGGGCTTATTGAAGAATTTGGCATGAGAAGTTTTGCTTTGCTGGAGGGAGGGGAAAATAGAACACTGTGCAAAAATAATTTAGTTGTTGTATGAAACATGATAAATACTCTTTCATATGCATTTTCTAACCTCATTTCTACTATGTTCATGTAATTTGGCGAAGATGGAGCAGCTTAACCAGTTTAGGATGTTTTCTGAGAAGGAAAGCATGTTTTTTAAACTATGGAAATAAGTAAGTTGTCACAGTTCTGTGTATTGCTTTCTGCTAAGTGGAAGCAGAATATTACTGAGAAGTTTTTGTAAACTCTTCTGCCCTTCTGAAGGACATGAGCACACTGTCTTGATGTGTCTAGATGTAACCTTACCTCTCCTAGAGAGATCCCCTCACCCCACTTAATTTTCAATTTACTATGTTAGATTTTCATAATTCGCCTTTTTTTTTTTTTGAAGGAGAAAATCTGTCCTTACATCCACCTGTAATATAGGATACAGTGCCCATCCCACCCCTTGTTCTTTAACAAGCACTATTTTGCTTTCATTAATCTCTCCCGCTCACCAGTGTGTTAACTCTTACTTGTTTTGGTCCAAGACTCTCTACTTTTGCACCTAGAATAAAAGTAGGCACTTAGTATTTAATATTTATTGGTTGAATTAATTAATTAAATGATCCCTTTCTGCCCTTCCCATTGTTCCAGCAACTTTGTTTTGAATACAGTATATTGTATTTTAGCTAATCTGTGTACAGATATTTTCGAAGATGGCTTTTTATTCATATTTCTATTCAGATAATTTTAACAAAGTCCAAAGCTTTCTGCAGCTCTGTGAGAATTAATGAGACTTTTCCCTGCCCCTTTGATAGAATTTTACTTGGTTAAATGTATAAGTCTCTAACGCTGATCCTAAAGATGCCTAATGGTCCAAAAATGTCATTGGCTTTCAATATTTTAAGAGTTGTGTTGTATTTTCCTTTCTTTGATTTAATTTGTAGATATTATACACCATGCACTACTTTACCTTATTCTTCTCATTAGGATTATATATTGAATTCTAAAACATCAACAAAGCATGTTCAGTCATTTTCTTCTGAATCCTGAGAATGAGCTCTGACCAAATGGCAGCTAGCCCTAGCTTTTTCTTCAGCCAAAATTACATTCCCATTTTCCATTACCTCATTTATATCCCCTTTTCCCCTCATTCTTTTTTATATATTTAAAATTCCTCTAAAATTCTTTTACGGTATATTTTCTGAAG